AAATACATCTGTAAAATAAACTATTTCTGAAAAGAAATGTAAGCATGAAAAACGCTGCATCTACCTTTCTTGCAGTATTTTCCTCAAATGAAATAGATAATTGCAAATAAAGGAACAACAACTTATGTAGACATTACAAAGCAGTCTGACCACCCAGGTTTTTATCCCTCTGGGAGATAGTATGAATGCAATCGAAAAATCTTTATCAGTGAATGTTTTCACGGGTTATTTAACAATGCCTCGAGCAGAAAGAGAGATAAAAGTTATGGGGTCAAAATGACCCCGTCCGCCATTCTAGCAATACATGCAAATATTTCAGAAACTAACAAACCTAGAATGCTGAAAATATTTTTACAAATATTTGTTATCTCTTTAGGAAAAGCCAAAAAATTCCAAACAATTTCTTCTAATAAAACAAAAGTAATCAACGGTCAAAAGTGTTCAGGGGTCAAAATGACCCCTACCACCGTTCTAGTGTTAATATCCAGAACTGCATCAGCTCTACTTCCAATAAAACTGGCTGTGGAAGCATTAGAGATATTCTAATTTATAAACAGCTAATGCAACAATAAATTTCATGTTGCAGCCACTAAAAGAACAGCACATATCACTATCTGAAGAATTGTATACTACATTGAAAAATCGCACAGAAGAAAGGCATACCAAAATAGAAAATGTCTTATGGTACTTACATAATCAGAATAATTTTTAAAATGAAAGGGAAAAAACAAAAAGAGACTAACCAAATCAAATTTGATCAAGCTTATAGTAAATTTTCTTAAAATCTTTTACCCACAAACCTATCCAGATTTAGAAGAATTTGGTACAGTTATTGAAGATGATGATGACACTAATGTCCACATCCACAGTGAAAAGGAATTGTCTCTTGAACAAAAATTAGAATTAGCCATAACTAAAAAAATCTCAACAACCCAAAATACAATACAGAAATCAGTTATACCCAAAACCATCTGATGAGAAATCGACTTCTTTGAAGATGAGGGATTTAGAGGTAAATAATTGGAAAAAGTATATATCACACATTGCTAACGGTACCACCAACTAGTGTAGATGCTGAAAGAGTGTTTTTGACAGCTGGGTAATTTTTGTGGAAAATTACATTCCAACCTTAATGACAGTACAATTGATTAATGTTTTTTAAGATCACATTTAAAAAATTCGTAATAGTACCACAGACTGAATAATGATATTTACACTTTTTTTGTGATTTAAATACATAAGATGTTCCTTGTTTCTTCACTTTTTTGTGATTCTTTATATACTGTTATAATTTATAAGTTACAAATGAATTTTTGTGATATTTACTCTCTCTAATAAAACTAGCAAATAAAGCAAAGAAACACCTGTGTTTTGTTTCTTTTTCTAAAATTCCTACTACTCATATTAAAATCAGTATTCCGGTATTAAGATATAAAAAATACCGAATACCGGCACTGAACTTTTAGTCCAAAGTTGCAATCCCTAGTTGTAACCCAACATACTCCACACAGTGACAACATATAGCCTTCACTGCTGACTGGGAAAAGATCACCAGATCTTTTTCCAGTTGAGCACGTATGGGACATCATTGGAAAAAAATCTCCAGCGTCATTCATAGCCAGCATTAACAGTCCCTGTATTGACCAACCAAAGTGCAAAATACATGAAACTCCATTCCACAAACTAATATCTGGCATCTGTATGACACAATGCATGCACACTTTTGCATGCTTGTATTCAAAATTCTGATGGTCATATGGTTATTAGTGTACCAGCATTTCACAATTTGAAATGGCTCTCTCACATGCATTAACCTGTGGTTTTGAAAATGTAATCAATTAAATATGTTACATAGACAAATGCACTGCTGAAATTTCATTACTCTACGTTAACGTTTTTCTATGTTGAGAATTTTTTTCCCATCAGTATATATTTGAATTAAATTGGAGGTATGGAGGTTATTGTACAGACTTTTTTTTTATTATTACTCTAATCAGTATCATTTTTAAAATTTCTAATGCAGCTGGCAATATAACCACAAAATCCCATGCAGCAAGCTTGTATGCTCAGATCAAATTATCAGTACAGTCTTTTAGCCGCCTGGTCAATGATGAGGCCCATTTATTTAGAAAAAAATTATAAAGATTCATAATGTTTCAAGACAGTACCTTTTATATCAAAACTTGAAGTTGAAAGTTAAAAACTTTTCAAATTAGAATTAAAAAAAAAAAAAAAAAAAAAAAAAAAATAAGTTTTCGGGAACAATTTTTCAACATAATACTATATGATTTCAAATATTTACATTTTTCTTTCAATAAAACATGTAAGAAGAGAAAATTATTCATATGATTATTTAAATAATACCTGCAATATACACATCAAAACCTAAAATGAAGATAAGTAAATTAACTGCGAGATTTTAGCATAATTAATGAGACAAACATATAACCAGTTTCACAAATTAATTCATGACACTAGTTTTTAGATTCCCTGTTATACTGATTATGGCAAAACTTTTTTGTTGTTCATTTACCTTAATTAAAAAATTATTATAATTTTAAACTTGTTAAGACACTAATTCAGGGGTTTCCAAAGTGTGGGGCACTGCAAAGTAAGGACAGGGGCGCCCCTGGCCTTGCATCATGGAGAGACAAGATTTTCGTTAAACACTAGACCATATTTTTCATTAATTCTGTGTTTATTAATATGTTTCATTAATTCTAAATTCATTAATACATTTCCTTATTTTTTTATTCCTTTTCTTGAAATAATAATTCCTTAAGTTTTTCTCAATACTTATGTTTCAGTTGGTCATCTAATGCCATTTAAATTATATTTTTAACATTTTTATTTCTCCTTAAATCTAAAATAATTCTTGCTCATTTAATTTCTCAAAATGTCATTTTATTCTATCACTTAGCTTTTTCAATTAGAAAATTATTCCATGTTTTGCATAAGATTTTTATTCAATTATTTTCGCACATATTACTTCCTTTCACAAGACTGCTATATTTGTCTTTTCAGCATTGGCATGTATTGACATATTCTGACATATTCTTTTTTCCACTCGTGACAATCAGTATCGAACTCAAACGTGTGGAAAAGTCGTACAGTCTTACACATCTGAGGAAAAAGAGTCGTGATCTCGATGAAATATTGCAATAAATCAAAAAGTCCTTACTAATATTTTGAGGAAAAAAAAAAAAAAAAAAAAAAAAAAAAACAGAATTCTATTAAACAAGCATAATGATAATTTGAATGATAAAGCATCGACAATTCGTGGAGGAGTAAAGAAGCAAAAATTTGTAACTACAAGGAGAGTTACATAGATTTTTTTACTTCAGTAGAAGTAAACAAGGATGACACACGTGATATCTGCTTAAAAAATCTTTGCACTCAAAATTATGCTCCTAAGTAAGCTAAAGTTACTTCTTGAGACCTTTCATCCTAACTCGGTCGATAAATCTCACGTTTTTTTAGTAAGAAGTTGCAAAATTTACAAAAGCAAAGTAGCCCATTCACTAAACAAATGCTAGTTCCAAATAACGCTCAGCTATAGTCTGAGGAGAGAGAACTTCAAAAAACCACACAATATGAGAAGAGCTTATTATACCAGCTGATCTTGAGATGATTAATATGATGTGGGAAAGGTACCTCTATCCAACAACACAATTAGTAGAATGATTTAATGCATAGCTCAGGATCTCAGTGTTTAGTGGATAGAGAAAATGAAATGAAACGAATTCGGTTTGGAGTTAGATGAGGTACTGACAGTATCAAAGATGCAAATCTTATATATTATGTACACTTCCTGCTTGGTAATATTGCTGTTGAAGATCTTTTGTTCTGTAAGAATATTATCGGAAGCTCAAAGGCTAGACTTCTTCGAAATGCTTGCCAAGTTTATAATGGAAAATGAGTTAGTTGGAAATAGTGTGTTGATGCATATACTGATGGCGCTCGATTAGTGTTCAGTCACTAAGAAGGACCGCAGACACGTATTTGCAGCAAAACACCACATGCTGTGTGGACTACAGGGAAACACTTGCATCAAAATCGCTCATTGCGCTCATTTTCTTTGCGATATCCTATCTACGCGAAGCTGGATTTCAATCTGACGCTATATTAAGGACCAAACACCTTTCATAAATCATTGTGGAGCAAGAAATGAGAACAGCTGTATCAAGCCTTTTTCCGCAATTTGAAAAATTGCGTGGGGATTAACAAGCTTAACCTGTCACATTGACTTACTAATCTGCCACTGAAGATTTCTTTTATTTGTATTTAATTCATATATTTTTTTATCAATTAAAATAAAACTTTTTCACTAAAATGTCGCTTTCATTTCTGTGCTTGATTAATGCTGTAGTAGAAATACTGCAGCCTTGGCACCATAGAAAAATAACACAACTTCAAGTGTGCCGCGTATTGAAAAAGTTTGAGAACCCCTGCACTAATTGTTTCTTATTGATTTACATAATTAACTATTATATCATAAACGACAAAAATGAAATGTATACATCAGTAATTCATAAAAACATTACAATTTAAAAAAATGTCAAAGCCTTTTCACAATTATAGAAGTCGCATTTGGTTGAAATTAAGCCAACTTTTCTATTAAAAACAAATAATTGTCTCTCAATTTTAAAATATTTTATTCACAATAAGATCAAAGCAAATTTCTCACACTAATCACACACTTTCTAAATCTACACTTCAATTTTTTAGCTATAATCCTTATTTCCTATAATTATTTTTAATGCTTTTGAATTTTCATTGCAGTGTAAAATATACTAAATAATCAAGGAATTTTGTTTCTAATCAAATAACAAGTTAAAAAATGGTAGTAAAACGATATAGTTTATCTTAAACCCAGATAAATACACATCTAATCTAAATAAGCAGTCATAAATGAGCTTATTACAAAGAACAAGTTAGAAATACATTTCAAAAAGTAAATTCAAGCACAAAATAATACCAAAATCCATTTCCAATCATACCAGGTTTTGTGCAAATTCTCCAACAAATATGTCATGTTCAATTAAAAGACACTGAATTTCTGTTTCAAGTTCACCAATTTCTCCTAAAGTCTGCACAAGATGCCCATTAGGATACTGTGACTCTTTATCCCAGTTATCAATTCGCACAACAATTCTAAAAGAAGGGGGAAAATTGTTAATCAAATAAACAATGCAAGTTTCATCATATGAAGCAGTTTATTCCTGAAGACAAATTTCTGAACAATTAATACTTCACAGCAATATTTTTATCCTATTTATCTCTGCAAGGAAAACAATATTTTCCAAAGGTGAAAAATGATAGTTATTAGAATGATATAAAAAGGCACTTAAGGGATCTTGAATAAAAAAGCAAAAAAGGAATGGAGAAAATAAAAATTAAGATGATATAAGAGAGCTTTATGTATGATATAACTGAATTGCATTGCTTTAAAAAACTAAGAAATATGCTCCATATTAAATATACCTAAAATAAGGAAAAAATAGGCCTAATGTGCAGCTAAAAAAGGATATACAGGGGGATTCAAAATAACTGGAAAAAATTTAAAGACAGGTACTTAGGACTGAAAAAAAAAAAGGATCTTTTGTTATGGAATTTTGTGTATGGAAATAACACAAGTGCTAGCACATAAAGAAGGTACAGTTATATATAACTGAGAAAGAGAAGTAAATTCTAAAGAAAGAAAACATTTTAAAGATTAATCTCTTTACTGTCGATGCTCGAATCGATGCTTGATGTCGATGCATCAATAGTAATACAATATTCACTCTTGCACAGCTCTCGGAAACATTCTTGAATGTTTGGGAGCCATTTACTCAGGAATCATTCTCTGTACACGCTTTGGGTAGCTGCTTTGTTTTCGTTTATAGCCCCATAGATCAGGCCTCGGCACCTGTGATCCATGGGTCAGTGCATGACCCATTTTCTTAATTTCAAGTAACCCATTTGATTTCCAAAAATACAGTATCATATATAAAAATAAATTATAAAACATAACTATGAAATGAACACATGAAGAATACATAAAAAAAAAACTGAAAACAAATAACAACAATAACATTTCTGTCTGATTACAAAGTTGCGGTAATGGACAAGCAATTTTAGTTTTACAAAATTAAAACTATAACGATTTCAAGAAGAAATTGATGTTTGGCAATATTGATCCATAATCTACAATTATAAAAACTTGACTTTGCCATTTTGTCTGCATTGGGTTCAACTTATAAATGCAAGCAAACACATGAAATTTATTTTAAGTAAAAACAGGAGCAGCTTAACTACTGAAATTTCATATGCTGGAATTCACCTTAATATGACTAAGTGTAAGCCAAACTTGATTAAAATTGATGTAACAAGTTCAGATTCCCAAGAGCCATTGATATTGAAGAGAAAGTTAGGAAAGTCTTTCAGTTAGTTTTGTGTTTAATGATAATTACAATTTTAATTTTAATGTTTAAACCATATTGTAATAATTTTTTTTTTGTAAAACTCATCATTCACCAAGAAAGACTGTTCTAAAAGGAAACCAAGACTAACATGAAATATCTTCTTATTAGATATATTTCGGTTGATTTTGACACATAGCCAAAAAGCGTTGCTGATGTTTACTATAATAAGAATGTCAGCAACGTTTACTTTCATATAGCAATGCATACTGCTCAAAATCTACCTGAGAATGATGATTCATACTAGTGAATGACTTTAACCTACCAATTTCAACAGCACTCTCTACCATGACCTTCCTAAGAAGAAGGCCATGGCCAATACCTTCTTAAACAGAAGCCCCAACACCAGATCGTGACGTCACAAACTGGCAGCTGACAATCGCCGTTGGTCACCCACTACCTGCCTTAAAAGTATATGTGTTTTTAAAGCTTTACTATAAGGATGGTTTCTCCTAATGATGTAGATACATATTATTTTTCTTTTTACTTTATATATGTGAAGATTTCCAGAGTCATGATGAAGCTTGGCATTGTGATGGCTTAGTGGTAAGGCTGAATCAAAATGACGACATATGATTTAGCTTTCAAATATATATTTTTATTCCATTCGAATGGCAGAATTTAGATTAACTTCTCCAAATTATATATTCAATAGTAATTTAAAGTAAGTACGATGGATTTTGACTTTCTGTGTCATAACTTTTTCTAATAAAGGAAAGATGACATAAGAAGCAGCGAGGTGCGTAGCGCAAGCACAGAGGAAGCTTCTTCTGCCTCGCAAATGGTGCAAGCTCGTTATTTATACAAGTGTTTATGTAACAGACTAGAGAATTCTGGAAGGTACTGGTTAAGGGGGAAGATCCTAAATTACGGAAAGTTACTTAGAGGTTGTGTGTTTGCATAGATCAAAGCCACCAAATGTTTATATTTTACATATATATATATATATACAGAGAGAAAGAGAGAGAGATGAAGATATATATTTTCAATTCATTCGCAGATATAATATTGGAAACATATTCATATGCACATAATACATTATATATTATTAATTTTTTATGCTCTTATATTGTATGTTTACAGTTAAAATAATGCTTTAAAGCAATGGTTGGCTTTTAATTAAGTAATAATAATGAAAAGTTAAAATCTCCCTCCATATTAATAACATTCAAGTCACTTAAGAGCATAAAAATAGTTTTAAGGAAATTAGAAGCTTTTAAATTTCAGCAGGGCAGATTTATAAGCACAAAAGTTTCCATTAAAGAAACTAAGTTCTTTCTTATTTTTAGCAAATAGCGAAGTGTTAGCCAAGGTTTCCAATCCTCGTTACCAGAGTGTATGTGGTAGAGCCTAATTAAATCAGGAGAAGTGCTATGACATAATAGGACACTGGACGTCCCTTGCATTAACACTCCATCCTTCCCCCCTCCCTTAATGAAATTCACATTAATTTTTTCCCTTCTGCTGTCATTTTACTAAGTATTTTAATAACATTATAAAAATGTGCTCATTTTTTATTACATTTAAATTGTAGATTTTTCATATAAATTAACATTACATAAAAATAGTTGCCTATTTTCCCTTCTCTCTTCAGTGGCTCTTTACGAAATAATTTTGTTGAAGACAAATATTTAGGGCAAGCACTGAAAATTGAGGGAACAACATTTTCTTTCAATCATACTTGTTTTAATAGAACTTCTATTTTCTTCCTCATTTTTTTCACTGTATTTCTCAGAAAATGGTGAAAATCTTTCTTATGGAAATGTAATTGACAGACCTAAATCCAGCAAATGTAAAAATAGTCTTAATTAAATAAATTTTATAAAGTAATAAAAGTAAGACTTCTTGTAATGCAATTTATTTTTTAACAAAACATGTAATATCAAGCATATGTGTCTTTATTTCCCACTTGGGGGGGGGAGGAGGATTCTTAGTGACATAAGGTTTAATAATATTTCAATTTTTATGCATTAGGAATTTCATTTATTTCTTATTTTAAGCAAAACTATGCACTTTACATTACAATTAAAAAAAAACCCATAAGCATATTTATTACCTTCACAGTCTCTTTACAAAAACCCATAGTAAAAAATAAATTAAATAATTTCATTTTCTGCTATATACGTATAAAGTTAAAAGTTCCAAGTTATAAAATTAATCAAAAAGCAAAAAATTGGAGATTTAAAAAATTTAGTGAATATATAGCATACAATTCGATACATAATTATACTAAATGATACGTAATTACTTTGCACAATATTATATACAATGATATAATATCAAAATGAAATTCCTTAATATTGATGTATCCATTCTTTTAAATAAATACAGAAGCAAATACCTTAATAAATTTAAATTTCAAGTTAGGCATAACATACCTTAGAATACTTCAAAATGGTAAAATTTTCTCGCAGTGTCGATTTTAGCCATCTACTTAACACATCTTATTGTTTAGAAAATCTATATACTGACACTTTAAGGCCATCATTATAATATCCTCAGCATAATGGCCCACAACACTTTAAAGGCATAATGAACCCCCCCCCCCCCAAAAAAAAAATATAAAGATTAAATTAAGCAGACATTCAACCTACTAAAACAACGCTTTGGTTCATTAACGAGTCCTCTCACGACCAAGGATGAAATTTCCCTAACTTGCTCATGCCATCTGGATGGCCTTGGTTTTGACCGAAGTGGCTATCTTTCGCACCCCATCGAGATAGCCAACAGTTTGTGACATCATAAACTATGAGCCTTCAGTAGGGAGGCTTGTGTTTAAGAAGGTGTTGCTATGGCACATATCATACAGTTTGGGGGTGAGTCTTTCTTTTTGTCAATCATCATTGTCATTTATTTTTGCAGCTGACTATGCAGTAGTCATACATTCTTGTTAGGTGTTGATTTTATCAATGTACTATGTTATCAGTGTTTGACGTGATGATGTGTCAAATTGTCCTTGCTTTGGAACAAAGATATTAGCATTTATCAGTTTCTGAAAGACGACACAACAAAGTAAATGAGATGTCAAACTATTCTTCGAGTGAGATTTAGTTCAAGCCCCCCCCAAAAAGGGGCTATAAGCAAAAAAAAAAAAATTTTTTTTTGCAAAGATATGATTACAAGAGAAGATATTTTTACTGATACAAATGGATATATATATATATATAAAAAAGATATATTTTAAATAGATTGTTTGGAACTTCAGTCTGGTTTGAACAGTGCAATTCATGTTGACTGCACAGGACATCTTCAGTAGTCAATGAAAGATTTGAGCGGTGTTGAGAAAAAGTTTCCAGGATGTCACAAATTCCAAGAAGAGAATATCCGTCTTTCATTGTAAGCTCGTTGAACCAGCAACAGCCAACGCAAAATCTAGTTGAACCGTTTTTCTTTCCAACCAGGTAGATGGAAGAGGCCCATGGATTTGCTGCCAGTAAGATAACATCGGTTTCCTGCATGACTTTCAGAAATTTTCCTACCTCTTCATGTTTAGCAATCAGTAGATGTCTTGGATGTTACTTGATAGGTGGATACTCTCCTGCATCAATTTTATGCTATGTCAAACTGGTTCAATATATGTCAGAAGAGAGCAGGAGAAAACATCTTGGGATTCTGGAATGATACCGACATAATTTCTCTCTTCATCACTTAGTTGTGCATTCTGGAATAACTCACCTGTTGGATTCTCCA